CTGTCTCCTTCCTTCCCGAGTGCTACGGAATTGCCCAGCTTGTTCCTGTGCAGGGCCTTTGCTCCTGCTCCTTGCCTACAATGCAACCTTCAAGCCAGATGGAACGGGAAGGCCTCCCTCCTGTCTCTGTGCTCAGATCCCATCTTCTCACGATGCCTTCTGCCCACCAGACATTGTGCCCTCCCCACTTACGGCAGCCACTCTATCCAATCACCTTGTGGAAAAGATGGAAAAGAAAATGAAAATTTGTTGCTATATAAGTGGAAGGTTTTGATCTTTGGAAAGATGTCTATTCTGGTCCTTTGCATTTTTAATTGGATCCTTTATCTTTAAGTTATTGAATTGTAAGAATCCATTCCTTCTAAAGCTGTATCCAAAACACCTCTCCCTCTCTGAATTTTAATTTATATTTGTGTGTGTGTGTTGTCTGTCTCCCCATTTAGAGTGCAAGTTTCAGGAAGGAAGGCGCTGTRTCTCTTGTGTTCAATTGTGTGTTCCCAAGCCCTAGAACAGCAGGCAATGGACATTTGCAGAATGAATGGGTAGAAAGAGGACAGCCCTCTTCACACAGACACTTGCTCTTCCTAGACTCAATCTAGCCACCAGGATTCCTTTCTTTGAGCAGCAAAGGACCAGTGCCAGAGGGGCTCTGACCCACCTGCTTCAGCTTCTGCAGACAAAACCATTTAGAAGCTCCTGCACTTTCTTTTCCTCCCTGTCTTCTGTCCTCTCCTCTCACCTACCCTAGTAGGTATTGAGTGGCCCAGAGTCCTCTCAGGTGCCATATAACCCCTTGGTCCCACTGAGTTTTGGACCCCCTAAGACTTTCATTACTGGGGAAGAGCAGCGGAGGCCTAAACTGTCACCTGTGCCACCCCACTGGTGATACAAACAGGCCAAGGCTCAAGACCAGGTCATTTCCCTGAGGAATTACTCCAGTGCCAACCCTGCCAGATGCTGAGGCCTATAAAGAGCTCAGGCTGGGCGCTGCCTGCAGCCCTTCCAGGAATGAGCCTGGGAGCAGACACTCACTGCTGGGGACCGCTGGCAATAATACAATCACACAGCTGCTGTGTTCTCACCTACATTGCCCCTTGTGCTGCCAAACTGACACGTTTCCCTAGAGGTGGCCTGATAGCTTATGAAACCAGACGGTTGCGAAACAGAGAGATATAAAAGCCTGCTAGCCTCAGGGGCTGCCTGGCCCCTTATAAACATGGAGGTTGCAGGAAGGCTCGTCGTTTCGGCTCTTTTAATTGCCTCCAGTTTGGCAGAGTTGAATTCAACTGAGGCTCAAGGTAAGAAAATTGAACCAGATTTCTCAGTGCAAGCAGGAAGAACTTCTATTACCAGGCTTCTTCCAGAATGTCACGTTTTCCTATCTGCCATTGGCTCCAATGCAGAAAAAAAATCTAATTTAATATTGTAGGTGGGATTCAGAGTTAGTACTAATTTTACTCAGGCTTATATGACAGTGTACAYGGAAAGATATAAAACACATAGAATTACACTGGGCAAGTTTGCTAGTAAGAGAGTTTATCTTCAGAAAAGAATCAGAGTACATGATATATATACGGTGTGTATGTGTATTTATATAACTAAAAAACAATATAAATTTCCAACATTAATTTTGTTATGGTGAATCCAACAAATAACACTGGCAAATTTTTAAAAATCTATGAGGAAAGGATCTACAAGAAAGCATTTATTATAAGAGGGAAAGGAATTATTTTAAATTTSTACAATATGATGTTATGTTACACATGCATTCAAGCACTTCAGAAATTTGGAAAGAGAAGAGGAAAGAGTCTAGATGTGTTCCCAGAAAGGATTTAATGATGATTGGTTCTGGTGGATGGGATTGTGGGATCAGACTTTTTTTTCTTGATTGTCTTTTCTTTTTGATTTTTCCTAATGAACATACTATTAATAATTACTGTTAGGTAAAACAAAATAAAGACTATTGTTGTGAGGACGTTTCAACTCATCTGAGATGGAAAAGAAAACAAGAAGTTTGTTGTTTTATAAGTGGAGGTTTTGATCTTTGGGAAAATGTCTATTCTGGTCCTTTGTCTTTTTAATTAGATTCTTATTGAATTGTAAGAATCCTTTACACATTCTGGATATAAAGATTCCATTTAAAACTGTCTTTCTTCAAATGTTACTATAGTTGCTTTTATGGACCATTTGAAGGGAAATTACAATTTCTCCCTAGTCCTCCAAGGTGGAAAAATCAATTGCTTACAGCTTAGTCTGGAGGGAGCAAAAAGCCCTTTACAGTCAGCAGCATGCTTGTATGAATATTTAATGTAGGAGGTAGGTACTAGTCGCTACTAGAGGGTCAGGGCCTGAGGACATTCCTCAACACGAGGTGTGGTCTCTACCAGGCAGATCAACCTGCACTGCCAGTCTGGGAGGAGCCAATCTGGCAGAGACCCACAAAGCCCTGATCCTGAAACTCAATGCTGATGAGAACTGCACTTGGACCATAGAGAGACCAGAAAACAAGAGCATCAGAATCATCTTCTCCCACGTCCAGTAAGTAGAGCCTTCAGTTTCCTATCAAGTGTGCTTGACCTTTGGCTCAATGGAGTATGGGGGAAGTCTCTCTGTGGAAAGAATTCAGCCATCACTGGAGGTGGTAGTAATTCTAATGATGATGGTGATGATGGCTGATAGTTACCCATGGAGACCACATGCTGGCACTGGCTTACAGAGGTCCTTCAAAGTCAATACTAGGATTACAAACATAGGGAGGTTAAAAACTTGTCAAGATCACACAAATAGTGAATGAAATGACTTTGCTAGACCAATTCCAGATTTTAGGCCTTAAAGCACTAAACCTGTGATTCCAAACGTTGATATACATAAGAAGCACCTGAAGGGCTCATTGAGGCACATTTGCTAACCCCTCCCCCAGAGCCTCTACTGTGGGGTTTGTGGGGCCTGAGAATTTGCATAGGAACCAATTTCCCAAGAGATGCCGATGCTCCTTGTCCAGGTACCACACTGAGAACTGTGGCCATGTACCACTGAAGTCAGTTGACTGCCCCRGAGGAAAGGGGAAAGAAGAAACTTTACTTCCTGGGATGATAAAATTATTAAGAAACATAGATGTTATTCCTGATTTGTAAAGGGAGAGAAAGAGAACAAAAGCATGAGAAGAAAGGGAAGGCAGAAATAAATATTTAGCATTTATTGATCACTTCTTGTGTGCCAAGCCTATGGAAGATGCTTCATGTTCACAATAGACTAAATCTCCTGCAAGAATAAACAGTGTTGTGATATTCCTATTTTACAGAAGATAAAACTGAGGTCAAGAAAGTTTAAATTGAGCTGGAGATATAGCTCAGTTGGTAGAGTGCTTCCCTCACATGCACAAGCCCCTGGGTTCAATTCCCAGCACAACACACACACACACACACACACACACACACACAAAAGTTTACATCATTTGTCCAAAGTCACCCATGGGTGATTAAAGTGCAAAGGGAACTTGGTTTCTCTACCCTAGGATTGTTTGCTCTAAGCTGTCTTGGACATATGCCCTTGTGGACATTTGAGGAGACCCTATCAGAATGGATGGAAAACTGAAATCTGGACTGCCCTGTCCAGTGGGAACATGGGACTCTGTGTGAAGGGGGAAGTGGTGATATGAGGGGAGGAAGGGGCAGTTGGGAGATGCTAAGGTTCCCTTTACCTTGAGAGCTGGCTATGGAAGAATATTTGCTTCTCAACAGCCTTGGCTATCCATGGGACCAGTTCTAACTAAGAAGGTTCTACCCCAAAATAGTCACATGGGTGACAGGAGTGATGGAGATGGGAGAGGGAGAAAAGTCCTGGCTTCTAGGCCCATATTTAATGTTAGTTGATGTAAGGTATAGATAAATCAGCTCATCTTCTGAGCCCATCAAGGCTGATGGTGTGTGGTTTGATTTTGAAGATGGTGGGGAGGTTTGAATGAAAGTAGATGTGTCCCTGCTTTATAAATCATCGTGCCAGTCTGAGCAGTTGACTGCTCTGTGAAACCCCTTTTGAAGTGTCTCTTCACTAGCCACAAGTACATTCTGCCCACAGGCTGGATCCAGATGGAATGTGCGAAAGTGAAAACATTCAAGTCTTTGATGGAAACTCTACCAATGGGCCTCTGCTAGGGAAAATCTGCAGTAAAAACGACTTTGTTCCTGTCTTTGAATCATCATACAATACACTGACATTTCAAATACTCACAGACTCCACAAGAATCCAAAGATCTGTCTTTATTTTCTACTACTTCTTTTCTTCTGGCTCCTGTAAGTCGACCTCCACATCCTTTCCCCAGCCCTCCCACAAACAGGTTTCACCCCTGCCTGCCTGAGTTGTAATGCTGAATCTGAGTGTGTTCCCTGGAGATCTCTCCACTTGGGAGAGCAGCTGTTCTTTCTCAAGTGTGTGGGGTGTTAAGTGGAGAGCTTGTTGAGCCACAGACTCGGGCTCYACCTCTGAGATTCTTAATCCTTGGTTCTAGGGGAGCCTGTGAACTCTTCCTTCTAACTAGCTCCCCTGGGAGGCAGAGGGCTGTGGCTGACCAGATGACTCCAGCCTGAGAGGTGCTGTGTTAAAGCTCAAAGCAGAGATTCCACGTTCAGCCTGTTTAATCAGGACCCTGAGGCCATCGGCCGAGCCTGTGGTGGGAGGGTGCCTCCCTTGGTCTGATTTGTTAGATATGGCTTCGATGTTTATCAAGTCCCTCAGGTAAGTCTGCCCACAGAGACTGGGAAGCAGGTGTTGAGAAAAGCTGGCCGAAGTTTCAGATGTCAGATGTTAGGTGGTTCCACAGTCATAGCACCTTAATTCCATTTTACCCAGAGTGGAATGCTGGGGACTTGAGCAAGTGGATTCACAGGGGAAGGCTCCACTCTGGTTTTCTTTGAAAAGCCCAGAACTAAATGTGACACTCTTCTGCTTACTCCACTGATTTCTCAGTGTCATCAAATATCTGGAATGGAGCAGTCAGGCTTTTCCAAGCTGGACCCAGGCCCAGGTAACTGAGATGTCCAGCCCCTATCTGATTCAGACCATCAAAGCCATTTTATATCTCCCCCAAAGGAGTCTTCCATGTTGCCTCTTTGTTTGGTTCATCCCTGTTCTTGCCTGTGTACTTAGTAGGACGGGGAGAGACAAGGGAGTTTTCATGAAGGCTATGTCTGAGCTGAGCTTAATAAAGCAGGAATAGGGAAGGGCAGAGGCAGAGGGCTGTGGCTGACTAGCGTTGAGCAGAGCTGGGAGGACAGGGCAGGCTGGAATAGCAGGTCGTGTGCAAGTGGCCAGTGAGACTGGTCAGCTGGGCTGGAGCCCAGTGAGGAAGAACCTCTGATGCTGGCCCTGGGAGTGTTTCTGTATTGTCTATGGCTCAGGCCAGGTAATGGAAGGTTTCTCCAGGAGGGACAATAGATCRCTTTAGAATGATCCATTTGGCAACAGTATAAAAATTCCCTCTGTCCACTGTACTCAGGGGCAGAAAGTCCAGTGATAAAGAAGAATGAAAACCTCAGTATGCCTTCCACAGGAAAGACAAAAATGGAATGACACCCAGGGGAGGCAGGTTAACTTCATGCCCCAAACAGAAATTAAAAGAAGTCTGCATCTGATTAACATTCTTGATAACCTCCCTCTTCCTTACAGCTATTCCCAACTGTGGTGGTTACCTGGAGGCTATGGAAGGATCCTTCACCAGCCCCAATTACCCAAAGCCSCACCCAGAGCTGGCTTACTGTGTGTGGCACATACACGTAGAGAAAGGTTATAAGATAAAACTCAGCTTCAAAGAGATTTTGTAAGTACTTCTGTCGACTTCCACCGGAGCAAAGCAGTCAACCCACCTGGCTACTGGGGGAACCTGGGGACGGGAAATAATCACAGGCATCCTCCCCGCTGTGGGCACTTTTCAAAGAATTGACCTAGAAAGGAAAATACTTAGCAATACTCTTGTGTTGAACTAAGTGAARTATTTTTCGAGGCTAGGGACTGACATAGACCCAGGGTTATCATCGTAAGCCCATGAGGCCACTGTAAGGACGAATCTCTAATCGCTTAAGAATGGGATGATAGAAAATAGCACGGGATTGTTGTTTGAAAAGCCTTTTCATGGGAGGCCTTATTCCTAGCCTGGAAGTGGATCAGCACTGCAGGTTTGATTTTATCGCTGTCTATGATGGCTCCTCCACCAACTCTGGCCTAATGGGACAAGTCTGTGGTCGCGGGACACCCACTTTTGAGTCTTCCTCAGACTCTTTGACGGTTGTGCTCTCTACGGATTATGCCAACTCCTACCGGGGCTTTTCTGCTTCCTACACTTCAATTTATGCAGAAAATGTCAACACTAGTAAGTCATGTTTTATGTTTCTTGGATATTTTGCATACGTAGAAACTGTTCCTAAATTCTCAGCCTTCCTCTGGCTGCTCCTATGTGGGGCTGTCATACCTACTGGGGGGTAGCTGTAACCTGAGACAGTTCTGTGCATTACTTGATCCAAGGGGAAATACATAACTTTATTAACTTCCTTAGAAGGAAGGCTTCCTTAGAAACACGGACTGGTTTCCTCAATGCTTTCTGCAAAGACAACTAAAAATATTAGATTTATGAATTCTAGCCCCAAACTAGGTGACAATGAACATTGTAAAAAGTGTACATATAACTGCTCCAGTATCTCGGGCTTTGAACTACCCATTAGGGCAATATGGGTTTTGGCTTTTTATGGGTTCAACTGCACATGAAAGTCTCAATTTCTAAAATTCCTACCTGGCCCCAATGTGATCATCCTCTCTCCTCCTTCCTTTTCTTCCCGATAGCATCTTTAACTTGTGCCTCTGACAAGATGAGAGTCATCATAAACAAATCCTACCTGGAGTCATTTGGCTATAGTGAGAATAACTTACAACTAAATGACCCAACTTGCAGACCCAAAGTATCAAACGTTGTGGAATTTGCTATTCCTCTGGATGAATGTGGTACAATCAAAAGGGTAAAGTGAAACTCTGACACCTGGGTTCTGTCAAATGCTGCTGGTGGGCTTGTGTGATGCCTGGGAGCTTTTGTCACGGAGCACAGCCATGATGGGCATGTGTGGATACACAAGGCGCACACTCATTCACACACAGATGTCAGATCGCTGCCTTCATCTTCAAGGGGATTGCAGGGTGGTTGTCTTGCTCAGAAGGTGAAGAACTGAAAACTCACTAGGGAGAGTTTGAACATCTATGTGCTGTGGCTTTAACAGTCTACCGGCAACACTTGTGCATAAAATGCTTACATCTGGGCTGGGGTTGTGGCTCAGTGGTAGAGCACTTGCCGAGCATGTGTGAGGCCATGGGTTCAATTCTAGGCACCACATAAAAATAAATAAAAAGTAAAGGTCCATTGACAACTAAAAAAGTATTTTAAAAAATGCTTACATCTTACACTTTAACAAAAATTGGGCTGGATTTTTAAGGTCTTTTCCCTTCCCTTGTAAAGACAGACGGTAGAGACATCTTAAAAAAAAAAAAAGAAATTTACTGTACATCTGTGATTTTTTTTACATATTCTAGACCTCCCATTCAAGATCTCAAAGATTTTTCAACCAGTAATTCCTTTTAAATACATACTATGAGCTTTTCACTTGGGATGTTAAAAATTATACACACATACACACATACATATATACATATATATAGAGAGATTTATATATATAGTACATATATTTATATATCATATATATACACATGCATACACATACATATGTGTCTATATGTGTGTGTGTGTGTGTGTGTGTGTGTGTACATATTTATTTTTCTTTTTTCCAAAACTGAACACACAGGCTTTATTCAACTGAGGAAGGCAGACTAGGGAGCCCCTATTCAGAGCTTCTGTCTGTGTACATTTGGAAAACTGCCCAGGTAACCACACTAACTAAGTGCTCTTTATGCACTAAGTTAAGGACAGTATGTTGTAGGGGTTGAAGCATCATAGGGCTGCAAATTTGCATTCAAAATAAATTTTAATGTAGCTGAAAGCAGCTCCATCCAATTCTATCTTCAAGTCATTCTAAGATAAGCTATGTCCCTCATTCCACAGTGTCGTCATTTCCCAGGACATTTCTTCAATAAAATTTGCATTTAAGGGCTATAGTATATTTGTCATGATTATCTCATGGTTTAAGAACATTATGTTAGGGCTGGGGATATAGCTCAGTTGGTAGAGTGCTTGCCTCAAATGCACAAGGCCCTAGGTTCAATCCCCAGCACCACAAAAACAACAACAACAACAACAAAAACCCATTATGTTTCTACCTGCAAGTGTTATTCACATCTATGCTGTAAATTATTACTGGGCTTAAAATATAAAATATAAAATCTTCTTCGGCAGGTAGAAGACCATTCAATTACTTACACCAATATAATCACTTTCACTGCATCCCCGACTTCGGCAGTGATCACCCGCCAGAAACACCTCCAGATTGTTGTAAAGTGTGAAATGGAACATAATTCTACCGTGGAGATGATGTACATAACAGAAGATGATGTTATACAAAATCAAATTGCACTGGGCAAATACAACACAAGCATGGCTCTTTTTGAGTCTGATTTATTTGAAAATCCCATACTTGAGTCACCGTATTATGTGGATCTGAACCAAACACTTTTCGTTCAAGTCAGTCTGCACACCTCAGACCCAAACTTGGTGGTGTTTCTGGATACCTGTAGAGCATCTCCCACATACGACTTTGCATCTCCAATCTATGACTTAATCAAGAGTGGGTAGGTATTAATGTAATTGATGCATGATATTCCTTCCCAGGAGTAATAATCATTTTAATGAAGTAATATTTTTGTACGTGGATACATATAAATTTTTCCTGGTGCTACTCCCATGGAATTTTATTACATTTATCTTAATCAATTTATAAAACATAGTAACTGTTTACTAATCTCAAATAATTTAATTAAAATATTTATGTAGGCACTGGTATCCTCTAGAATTTTAGATGTATTTATGAAATATTTGCTGGTGGAGAACAAATTTGTTTTTCATTAAGAAGACTGCATTTACATTTTTGCTTTTTTGTACATTTTGATTCTTTTCCTCAAAAACCCAGAAGATAACGTGTGCTGCCTAGAACATAATGTCATCAGGAAAATATATGTAGCATTCTTAAGAGAAAAAGTATAAAGTTCTTTGAAAAGAAAGGTTTTCCCTAAAAGTGGGTGGATTTTAACTATACCAGCCATTTATCTACATTAACAACAAGCCTATTAGGAAGGGTGCTTGAGTCCCAGTACATAGGGATTGATTTTCTGGTTAATTCACATGGACAGGAATCGTAGTGTCCGGAGGAATCTTTTTATCTTACCCAGAAATCAGATCTGGGGTTTGAGCCACAGATGCTRTCTTTCATAGTGATTTCTAGATTTACAAATCAGACGGTCGAGAGAAAACTTTGTGTCATCTCTTTTTAGTATGGGACAGACTGAGCTGCTGGGTGTCCTCTGACTGTGTTCATGAACTCTGTTCCAGATGTAGTCGAGACGAGACTTGCAAGGTGTATCCCTTACTGAGACACTATGGAAGATTCCAGTTTAGTGCCTTTAAATTCTTGCGAAGTCTGAGCTCTGTGTATCTGCAGTGTACGGTTTTGATATGTGATCGTAGTGATCATCAGTCTCGCTGCAGTCAAGGCTGTGTCTCTAGAAGGAAGCGAGATACTTCTTCCTACAAGTGGAAGGCCGACTCCATCTTGGGACCCATTCGTCTGAAAAGGGATCGCAGTGCGAGTGGAAATTCAGGTAAGAACAAAGCTGGTTCATGATCTAAGAACAACTCATGGCTCATCAAATGCTTCTCAAATCTAGTTGTTCTTAAAATATGTAGATTACAGATTTATAATAGAGATTTTAGCAAATAAGTGATGAGTCTTAAGCACATGGAATTAGTACTTATTTCTATCTGTTGGTAATATGGATGCCACAACGGGATAAGCTCCTGATACTGATGATTCACCATCATTTATATGCCTTTTGGACTCAATTCTAAAAATAAGTTAGCTTACCAACTCCATATTATAGATGCCACAGCAGATAAAGAATCAGAAAGAATGTATGTGAACTCCTGAATGAGTAAAACAAATCAACCAGCATCCCACATAATAGCCTATTGAAAAAAGTAGTTATTTTTATTTATTTATTTATTTAAAGAGAGAGAGAGAGGGAAGAGAGAGAGGACAGAGAGAGAGAGAGAGAGAGAGAGAGAGAGAGAGAATTTTTTTAATATTTATTTTTCAGTTTTTGGTGGACACAACATCTTTATTTTATTTTATGTGGTTCTGAGGATCGAACCCAGTGCCCCGCGCATGCCAGGCAAGCGCGTTACTGTTCGAGCCACATCCCCAGTCCCAGTAGTTATTTTTTAAAAACAAAATCTATTATATTAATATACAACAAACCAGCTTCCTTCGAAAGGACTGAGACTGAGATCTGCCAGATTGCATGGGAAAGAGACAGTGGAAAATACTTGAGGATGGTCCAAAATTAAATGGCACAAGAGAAACCACAAGAAATAAAAACTCTCTGTGATTTTATCTCCCGTGAAAGTGATGCTGGCAACAAATCCTGTGACTTGCATATTTATTTGTTATTATTAGTTTGGATAATATAGGAGCAATTCTGGTTTGTAGTAAAATATTTCTGTGGCAGAAACAAAAGAGAACAATCAAGTTAAATTTAATAACTTTTATAAATACATTAATGAATGGAAGCCATTATAGAAATACCCTGCATATTAGAAAAGTATTCTGTTATGAAGGAATAAACAAGACTGTTTTCTGTCAATCAAATAGATATTTGACAACCATGGGACAGAGTGACTATTAATAAACAAATCTGAATTTTCATTGGACTATTTATGCTTGAATTCCACATGGTGTTCATGTTACATCAAGGAATCAAACTATGTCAATCATTTGAAATGAATGTATTTAAACATCAACATAATTAATTTAAATATTTGATAATGGTCCCTCTAGATTGTGTTGGAATTATGTGTTACACATTAATGTTACCCATTCATGCATAAGAGTCATTATGTAGAGATATAAATGTTACCAAATTTTTGTAATGCTAATAGTTTTTAAACAAATTTGTTTCCAATTACAGAACTTCTGCATCAAACACATGCAGACAAAACTCAGAGCCAGCCTTTTGACCGTCTGCATCTGTTTTCATTTGTGGTTCTTGCTCTGAACGCAGTGATTGTGGCTACAATTGCAGCAAAGCGTTTTGTAAATCAACGGACGGAATACAAATACCAGAGGTTGCAGCACCAYTGACTAACTGGTTCAGCCCTAAATGAAACACATTTTTCTCCCTGATGCTGAAAGAAATGGTACCTCATGGCTACATAGGTTATGAATAAATCAGGAGGGTCCCTTAAAAGTGATGCACAGGGCTTCATGTCATTGTGCCAGTGTGTCTTGTTGCAGGATGACTGAAATCACCAAATATCACATCTGTAAGCTCTCATCTTAGGAATGAAAGGCATTAATGAATGAAAAATCATCTCTTCTCATGAATATAAAACATTTTTTTTAAGTTCATGAGATTCAACTCAGGGGCTCTTGGCCCCTGAGCCACATCCCCAGCCCTATTTTGAACTTAATTTAGAGACAGAGTCTTACTGAGTTGCTTAGCACCTTGCGTTTTGCTGAGGCTGCCTTTGAACTCACGAGGCTCCTGTCTCAGCCTCCGGAGCTGCTGGGATTACAGGCATGCGCCACTGCACACAGCAACATAAAACATTTAAACAAATACTAAATGAAGAGAAAAAGGTTACTTTTATTCAAGAAAAGGAGTCTTCAAAGTTAGGTACTTTCATTTTTTAGATGCTAAAAAAATGTAAATATAAAATGCAAACAAGGAGCAGCCAATATGCTACTGTCCTGCAGGGGCTCAGATTTGGAAAAAAGGTTTGGGATTCTGGCAGTTGAAAGAAGATGTACCAAGGTGCAGCTGGGATGGTAGACATTTTTTATTCGAAGATGGCAGCAGCCCCCAATCTTCTCCATAGGCCTTTTTTTTTTTTTTTTTAATGTGCAGGCAAACAAAGAAGGCACAGTGCCAATAGGTTACATATATGAGCACATTCTCACAAGCAGATATTCATGACCTTGAGCCCACATGCTGAATCAGGGTGCTTATGACTTTGACTATATATAAAACACAGTGGGCTAGAAGTCTCAGGAAGGGAGCCTAACTCTAGATTCTATATAATCATAGTCTCTAGGTGGTTGCTGGAACACAACACACACAGTTCTGGCTTCTAATGTAAATCCAGCCATTTTCCCGAGTGCCCGACACATGCGTTGTACCCACAGGATGCTGGAGGGAATACACAATGGATATGAGGGACAGTCTGCTCTCACAGGGCCAGTCTTTATCAGCCTGATAATTTTCCAGCTCCATTCCAGATCTTCCTCCTTTTCTTTTTAATATCTTCATGTAGTTATTTTAAGCAGCCGTGTAGTGACTCTCTTATGTTCATCATAGAACCTAAATCCAACTACTGCAAACTTTTAAATACTTAGATATTTAATTCGAGAGGGAAAATCACATTCAGTACTTAAAACAGCACACCTGTCTGGCAGCTGCTGCCCTTCAGCCACCTCTTCATCAGGGACTGACCAGAGGTTCTCTGCTGGCCAACATGGCAGGTAGGCAGAGGCATATCAGGCCCAAATGTGTAATTCTAAGAAAATGGTCAGGTTTATCAGAATTATCAAGTACTGTGTCTCACTAGAGGGTGAGATCACGTCACCACAAGTCTGAAAGGTCCTTGAGCTGTACTCGTGTGTTTTCAGTATGTACGCTACTGTTTAGAATTTCTTTCTTTAGTAAGCACTATAGGGAGTGATACAAGGCCCTGGGTGTGAAGTTGGTGACCTGAGTTCTGGTCAGGGATGCTGTTCAGGTCACCTTCAGCCTTGGTCACCACAACTTAAAATCAGGGTTGGTAGCAGCTGCCCGTCCCCACTTTGGGGTGTGATGAGGATTAACGGAGAGAACGTGCCAGCACTTGGGGGCCTCCATGCCCCGCTCATCACCAGCAGAGTCCTCAGTCCCCCACCCCGGAGTCCTACTTGGAATCTGCTTCCTCGGGCCACAGGAGCACTGTCATAGGTGAGGGTCAGAGAGGAAAAGAGTCTCTGACGGGGGGGGGGGGGGGGGGCGGGGGGGGCTTCCTGGAATGTGTACTCAGAACCAGCAGGGGAGGGGGAAGCAGGACCGAGGAGACGACAGGGTGTGACACAGCTGCAGCCCAGGAGCTGGCCTGGCCCCTCAGAGGTCCCATCAAGGCCTGGTGCTCAGAGCTTTGCGTGCCACCCTGGCCAGTCTGGATGAGGGCTGCTCTAGTCAGGGCTGTGAACTTAGACAAGACAGTTGTCTTGAGCTGAGGGAAATCAGCCACCAACACTCCCAGCAGCCTGGAGAAGGAGTGGCTGGTTGAGGAGCATCTAGGTGTCACCTCTGAGCAGCTACTACACCTACTTCCTCAAAGAGCAGGATTTTCAGAATGTCTCGCTAGGCAAAGCCTCCTCTATGCTGAATCCACGAGACTTGCTTAAAGTGTTCCAGAAAGACTAAAAACAAAGGGACCGGCAGTGGAATACCAGGCACGGACAAACAGCAAGGCCAGGGAGTAGAATCCAGGCCATCTGCATGGCCTCTGCTGTCCAAGGGGGTGGAGTCACCTTGTCACTGCTAGGCAGGGGTGAGAGCCTTGGCTTGCCACTGGGCCCTGCTCTGACCAGCACAGAATGAAAGTTTCTGCTTGTCTTTTCCACATAGCGGTAGAAATGGAGGTCCAGGCTCTCTACCTGGTCTGCACCTGACATGGGTGTGCAGGTGAAGGCCTCACTGTGGTCCAGAGCTGATGAGCATCCCAGTGCCCACCTGTCCTCTCTGACATGCTCCTGGTGAGGGGAGGAAGGAGGGCAGGAGTGCTGGCGGAGGGTGGGACAAAGGATCCTCACTCCACCTTTGCAGGCTAGGGAGGAGTTGGGCCCTGTGTTCCCATGATGTTTGGCTGGAAGACACTTTCTGCCTAACAGTTTGCTGTCTTGCTAGCTGGCCCCTTTGCTGGTTCTTTGGATAGAAAAAGACAGCCTTCCCTTGAGCTTCTCTTGGTCTGCACCCTTGGTGCTCCCCATCACAGGCCACCCCTGTTTTGTGCCTTTTGATCCATGGGGCAGGAATGTTGCATAGCTGGCTTTCAAACCTTTATTATTATTGTTATTATTATTATTATTATTATTATTATTATTATTAAGAACCTAAGAACCACTTCAAGTGTTGTTATTATTATTATTATTATTATTTTATTCCTAAAAACCACTTCAAGTATTTTAGATAGAGCCGCTTCCCAGAGGAATTCATATTCAGCTTTGTTTGGACTTTTACTTAGTTACTTTAAAAAATGTTAGTTCTTTCATTGTCAGTACTTTCCACACTAGGAATTTTTTAAAAGTCATAAGATGCTGGGTATTCCTAGCTATTAGTCTTTACTTCCTCCGCACACTGTGGATAGGCAGTCAATGGGCAGATGAACTGTGGAGAGTAGAAACTCTAGCAGCCCCCACTTACCCAGRAAAACCCCTCAATTCCTTTAAAGTTCATGAATGAAACAGGTATGAAAATTACTGTTTTATATGACTGAAGATGAAGTTCCTCAGGGATAAATAATGAATTTAATTTAAAAATGTCATTTTCACCAAATTGGCCACTAGTTATATTCCATCAATTTCTATGTGTGAGAACATCATCAAAATGTATATTGGCCTCGTATTTTTCTGAGGCAGTTCCTGACTGAGGACACGTCTGTAATAAAACTGAGATGCTCCCTTTAGAGGCAACACCTCTTTGGGTCAGTTATCAGATTCTCATTTCTCAGGACCTCGGGGTTAGCTCCCAGATCCCACTGGGAACTGCCCGTCTCCCTGAGGGACCGGACGACTGCAGTCTCAGCTCAGGCAAGCTGTTTAGCCATAAAGACCAAAATAATTTCTTGGAGGTGGGGACTTTATTTTCTCTTTTTTTCTTTTTTGTTTGGTACTGGGGAGTGAACTCAGGGTTACTCAATCACTGAGCCACATCCCCAGCCCTATTTTATATTTTATTTAGAGACAGGGTCTCACTGAGTTGCTTAGCACCTTGCTATTGCTGAGGCTGGCTTTGAACTTGTGATTCTCCTATCTCAGCCTCCTGAGCTGCTGGGATTATAGGCATGCACCACTGCACCTGGCTCATACTTTAAATATTACAATTGAATATTTCTTGAGAAGTGAAAGAAAAAAAAATCATCTGACTGTGTCTTTCAATACAACTTTGAAGGTAGTGAGTCTAGGCAGGTCTCTTCCAGTCAAGAGAAATAGATTAAAGTGGGTGCTGTCTCCTTTAACAGGGGATGCTGGGATATGCTTGTCTTTCCTTGTTTGCTTTTAAATTTCTTGTGTACTTTTCAAATTTTCCAGATGCTTTTGCAATCTGAGAACCAGACTGAGAACACGAGCATGTGGGCTCTTGGCAGCTCAGAGAGCGGACGCTGTAGTTCTTGATTTATGCATTGGCCTATCTTTGTAAGCTGCAACCTAAACCCCACAAAGCTCCACCTTGTTCCCTTTGAAACCGGACAATTAAAGCTTGTTTGGTGAATCAATGGCATGTGTGATTCAACTGTCCTGTATTAGACAGGAAAATGAGAAAAATGAGCCGTGGCTTCCTGACAGGTGCTGGGTTTCTTTTTCATAAGACTCTTGGTGAGCTGTGAAAATAATTCTCACACCCCAAGTGGGATAGAAGCAGGGATCCATCCACCTATTAGCATCTGAATAATAAGGAACCAAACTGAAGACATAATCTTTAAATTGGCCATGGGGTAGGAGACAACCCTGCTTTTGATAATAATTTGTACACTTTAAGACAACAGTTCTTGATAGTGAAGAATTAGAAAATCAGCATTTTGGGCCTACAAAGAGTAACTGCCTTAGAAGTTCGGTAACCAGAGAAGGTTTATTTAGTGACACACCTCAGAGAAGCAATTTCTTCTGTTTCGTTCACCTGTCTCTACGTAGATAATGTCTGATTTGTCAAACACTGCTTCGCTGAAGGGAATGGACCTTCCTTCCTACTTTCTAACAGATTTACATGAAAGCTGCAGACATCACACCAGGGTCTTGCCCTGAGCAGCTGCTCTGTGGATCTCCAGTGGCCCGACCACTGGGAAGTGCTCAGTCTGCTTTTCCTTGGCCTCAGCGAGGCCTGTGCCCCTCCTACTCCGCCCTGCACAGCTCTGGGAGCAGCGAGAGGAAGAGTCCCCGTCTCTGCACACAGCAATCTCACACTTCAGATAGATCACATCGTAGCTGTCAAGAAAGCTGAAGGCRTTGAATTTGAACTGGGCCACGTTCTTCTGGTGGGATGGGAGGTTGGCAAAGCTTTTGTCTTTGATGCACCTGGTGGGAAGAAAAACCCCAAGCCAAGRGATTAATCTCAAGTATAGTGTGAAATTGCTCTAAACCACAGACCTCTGAAATCCAGATGGAGTCTTTCTACTACCCACTCCAAAGAAATGACTACACTGTGTTTTAACACTACTATGAATGGAAAGTCACTGTACCTAGCCACAAAATAAACGCAGTGAAAACAAGGTAATTACATACCAGCTACAACTCTTGCCTTCAGAAGGATTAGTCTATTTTGTCCAAAAGGAAGATTATAAGTGGGTTGAATTATTTGAAGATTATTTAATATAAAATTAAATAATTTTATATTTTAAATTCAAATCTTAGGGCAGCCACTGGAAAAGTGAAGGAAAGAAGTATAGACAACACATCAAAAGGAGCTAAAATGGAATCACAGAAAATGTTCAATTAAAACCAGAGAAAGCACCGAAAGGGAGGGTGGGGAGAGAAACAAAGAACAAATACAATGCATAGATGTTTGATTTTAATTTAACTCTCTCAGCAACAGGAATGGTCCAGATATGCCAATTTAAAGACAGAGTATATAAAAAAGAGTAGATTTAAAAAAAAAAAAACAACAACAAAGATTGAGCTAGAGTTACACATTGTCTCCAAGAAACCCACTTTAAATACAAAGACACAGACAAAAGTACAGGGATGGAGAACGATACTTCATGTGAACACTAATCAAACAAAAGCTGGGGCAGCTGGGTCAATTTTCAATAGAACAAACTTCTGAGACAGGATAATTWTCAGGGACAAAGAGGGACATTATATAACATAATCAACCCTCCAAGAAGATAATCTTTAATGAAGATAACCAAGATAAGGATTAGTCCTTAATCCAATTCACAAACCTCAACGTACACCCTCCCTACAGTGGAACATCAAAATACACAGGCAAACTGACAGAACCGCAAAGAGAAACTGACAGACTTGCCACCACAGCTGGACACTTCAATATCCTTCTATCAGTAATTGGCAGGCCCAGCCGGCACAAAACCAGAAAGGACGTAGATGGCCTAGGGCACCTTATTAATGCACCAGAGCGAACTGGCGTTTCTAGAACACTCTGTCCAACAAAAGCAGAACACACATTCTCCTCAAGCCCACGTGGAATTTCATCCAGAAAGACCACATTCTGGGCCATAAGAAGCATCTTAACAAATTGAAAAGAATAGAGATCACACAAGATACATTCTCAGATGACAATAAAATTACACTAGAAATCAATGACAGAAATATTGCTGGAAAAAAATTCCCCCATATAGAGAAAGTAGACCACACACTTTTAAGCAACCCATGGGGCGGTCTCAAGCGATATTTAAAAATATTTTGAACTAAGTGAAAATGAATACCCCACATCAAAATTTGTGGGAGATCGCTAAGATGGTGCTTGAGAGGGCGGTTCGCAACATTCAAAATACATAGATTAGAAAAGAAGAAATCAATCATCTCAGTTTCAAAACACTAGAGAAAGAAGAGCAAATTAGACATAAAGAAGAAAGAAAATGTGTTGGTTGTTAGATTCTGGCACCAAATGGAACCTCTTGCCCTAATACATTCATAGGGAGGATTGACGGGGAGGGATTCTTCACTCTGGGACTCGGCAGGTTAGTGCCACTGCGTGCACCTCCTGGGCCTGTGCTCACACCACCTTGGCAGGTGCTGTCTTGCTCCTCCCTTGGCCTTTGGAGGAGCTGCAGTGCTTCTCATGGGCTTTAGACCGCTGCAGCTTTCACCATGCTAACGGTGCTGTTGAGTCAGCGATAAGGTTTGGGTGGCAACTGCCCATCCATTAACATTTTGTCCCTGTTAGGGGACAGGGGAGCTAGAAAGGCAGACCATTTGCCTAAGTTCTAATTTGGAAAGTCACTTGGTTAGCCAAAGGAGCCAGAGCAATCTCACCAGAATAACTAAGCTTAGTTTGGAAAACCCATCAGCCCATCAGTATTGGTCAAATGCCTCAAAGGGGATCATGGGTGGGAGTCTTAACCATAAAACTAGAAAGGAAGGGAGGCTTAGGCCTGAAAGGGTGGAGCAGAGCAGCAGGGGTCTGTCCAGGAGTGCTTGGCGTGTCAAGGGAGGTTGTTCAGGCTGCCTATTACTATATCCCCCACTGGGATCCGGGGCTAGGAGGACCCCCCACTCAGCCTCTGGTGAGGACCCTGGCACAAGGCTCCAGGTTAGGACCTCCAGATCAGAGGCCACAGGTTCCTAAAGGAAGGCCGTGTGGATATTACAGTCAACCAGGAAGGGCTTCCATTTTCCTTACCCCTTCTGGATCAACTCATACTTGATGGTTGTGAAATCTTGGGGATCTGGAGAAGCCACACAAGTATCCACCAAGACCCTCAGGCTGGGATCGGAGCTACGCAGGGTGGCCTGGAGGAAGACCTCTTTCCTCTGGCTGGCGGAGTATGGCACCATGCCCCCCATAGGCTGGGACCCGGGAGACTGGATAAATGAAATGGACACATCGTAGCCGGCACCCTCGGTCTGGTCATCAGCTCCATGAACGATTTCAACTGCGGATGGACTGTTCACCTTGCAGGTGAATTTCACCTGGGGCACCTTGTGCCGCACAACCACTCGGCCCGAGTGGCCCCGTATCCGGCCTCTGATGGAGTTGGAGTAGCTGAGGGAGCCGAGGTGTTCCTGTGAGGACAAGAGGGGAGCTGGTRGCCAGTGCTCCTGGCTCCCTGACAAGCACCTGCCCCGAGACCTCTCCTCCCTCTCCTGATGGGTACCAGCTCATTGATGTGCTGGAGGGCACTCCTGGACCTCTGGGGAGCTTAATGCCAGGAAGGGATAACACAGTGTGTGGGTGCTGTGGGAGCTCCTGGTGGGCGGGAACCCCTTCTCTCTGAGGGCCAAGCTGTGCCCCTAGGAGCTGGCTGTCAAGCCCATGATGGCAGCCTACAGCTTGCTCTCTCTTGAGTCCCTGAACATGCTCCACTCTCTCAGCCACCCCCAGGYCACCCCATGCTGTGGCTCCTGTTTCCTGCCTACCCTTGAGCCCCAGACCAGTCTGGCTTCAGGTGAGCTTCAGGCCTGACCCTGCGGCCGTTGGCCCCAGCCTTGCTCCTTCAACTCCACTGTGACCTGCGGAGGACGAGGGGATGCTGACAGCGGTCCCTGCCTCTTGCTGCCTCCTTCCTGTTCCCTGCGTGGAGGTCTAGAGGCTCAGCTTGTGCAGGGCCTCTGGCTTAGGGAGCTATAGCATCAGGACTCAGATCCTGGACTCACTGCTTTGGGGCCCTTCCCTCTCTGCRCTCTCTGCCAGCTGAGGCCAGTGTTTCTCAACCTTTTCTCCATTATGGTCTTCGGAAGGAGTTTTCTAGACCCCTTCTTTTCTACTCATCCTGCCCTCTTTCCGGCCCCCATAATATGACAAATATGTCATTTGTGTAATGCTCGTGTTTTATCCATAAAGGAAGATTTCATTGCTTTTGCTCCTAAGAACCAACATCTAGCTCTCCTCCCCCACAAGGGGTAGGACTGCCCTCCTTGAGAACGTACAGCTTAAAACAAAAGCCAAACTCCTTGGCCACATGGCCCTGTGCCCTTCTAATCTGCCCCTGGACTCTGGCCCTGAGTCTCTTCCTCACCCACCCACAACCAGCTTGCGGCTGCCCCACCCTGCTCTAGCCGAGCCTGGCGCACCTCTCCTGCACCTACCTGGCCGCTCCACCTCGCCACTCAGCCGTGGCTCCTCAGCCACCACTGTTTAAAGTGGTATCCCTTCCGCCCCATGCCATGCCCCAATGGCAGTCCTTGTTTGATGACCCTCTTTCCCCTCTTCACTACTCAAAAGACTCGTTCAGGGCTCAGCTCTGTTTCCTTGAACAGAAAAGCCATAGGGCAGGAACCGTCAGTTCTGCAGCTGCCATGTCCTTAGCACCTAGGTGACTGCTCAGCCACTGACTTTGAAATCAGACCCAGAACCTTCCTGTGACAATGTTTTCCTCAGGGTGCCCTTGGACTGGCCTCCATCCTATGTGGTTGCTGACTGCTGTGCTCTGAGGTCAGAACATGGGCTTTTCTAGGCCAGCTGGACCAGCCAGGGCCAGACAGGACATCCGTCGGATCCTCCCCATAGACCAGCAATGCCTGGGGCTGCCCATCTTCCAGACAGGTGGGGGCTTCCAGCATGGCCCTGGGGGCAGGAACCTCTGAAGTGGACCACAGAAATGAAAGGATAAGAATGACCATGGTCTGTCACTGAATCACCATTGATCTGTCATAACAGATCAAATGTGAAGTATGGAATTCATGGCTCTTTTGGGTCATGTAAATCGCTTGACTGAATCTGACCTCCAACAATGTCAGGTGGGCTTTTTGTAGGTGTCTAAATGGGGATGCAGAAGAATAGAAKAACAGCATAAGGATCTTGCTTTGGAACATATTATATTGTTAATTATACTGAGAAAAAGGATGACACAGTTGTACATTTTTCCTACACCTTTAGTATGCTAGTTTCCTTAATTTCAATGTCATGGTTTTGTGAAATAAACAGGTAGTTTAGGAAAATTAAATAGGCATATAAACTTGCCATTCACAAATATTCTAGATGTCTGCTTTCCAGTTTGCAGAACATAGCCAGGTACTTGGTTTGAAACATAACAGTCAGACAAACAATCTGTCCTCCCTCATCTGCACAATAGCTGCACATGGCAGGTGTGACCTGATGCCCAGTCTAGAAGTCTGCTGTGGAAAATGCTTTGGCTTCAGAGCTGAGAGAATACATTGATCCACTTGTCCATCCACTCACATATCTGTCACACATCAGCACTCAACACCTGTTGCAGCGTATCCCAAGTTCAGTGTCCTAAATTCCCCAGAGGACGGAAAGTTTCAGACAAATTATCGTGCTTCCCTAGGTCTCCCAAAACTGAGAAATGAAGTCGTGGCTGAGTTTTTCCTCTGTCCTGACACAAGTGTTCAACAGGTAGTTCAGGTTTCCAAGGTCCTCTCCTTGGTCTCCATCCTTAGAAGGGTACCACCTCCTTACCGATTTCTTACCTGCCGGACAGTGCCGCAGTGGCCGTATGGAATGTTGAAGATCAGGAAGCGCCCACTGACTCGTGGGCGACACAGATTATCATTTAAGTGGATGTCCCAGGAGGAGTAGCCCAGTCTCCGGAGATAGCCTCGGTCTATGACAGCTTGGAAGAGGTGGGGCAAGCAGAAGAGCTGGGCTGCAGAATGGGGAGATCTTGACAAAGAGAACCTGGTGCAATGGACTTGTAGGTCAGAGGTGTGGGTTGTTTATTTCTAAAAGTACCATGGGTGGTGCTCTGGGCAGGGGCTGGCTCAGTTCTCTTCATCACCAGCCAGGACTTGACTTTCATTGACTTTATTTATATCCCCTGTGATGGCTTGCATCTGGAATGCCCCTCAGAGGCTTAAAGTTGTTCGGGGCTTTGGGGAACTGATGGGATCCTTATCAGTGGATTGGCCCATTGAGAGCTGGATGAACTACTGAGAGGTGGTGGGCACGCCAGGCAGCAGGGCGTGGTTGGAGGAAGTAAGTCACTGGGAGTGCTCTGGAAGAGTTATTTCTCATCCTCAGTCCCCTGACCCCCATCTCTCTCCTTCTCTGCCTCCTGGCTGCCATGAGCTGAGCAGCCTTCCTCTACCACACCTTTCTGCCATGATGTTCTGCCTTACCTCAGGCCCAGAGCAATGGAGCCTGCTGACCACAGACTGAAACTTCTGAAACCATGAGCCAAAAATAAATGTTTCCTTCTTTAAGTTGTTTTTCTCAGGCTATTTGTCATAACAATGAAAACTGACCAATACATTCCCCCTTGTCCAAAAAGGCTTTAAGGTCAAATCACATCCACAGGGCATCCTGCCCACAGCACATTTCCCATGGGCCATGAGATGAAGCTTTATCTAAGAATTTAAAGGACAGCTTGTTTTGTATAAGAGAAAAGCTGAGCCTGGACCTGTCTATCTGGGTGTTGGCGTGGAGATAAGCTGGAGGCAACCAGTGAGAGCCTGGGTGCTCAGGGGCCTCTCTGCCAACCTCCTCCAGCCCACAGTGGACAGAGACCTCAGAGGTCTCAGTGGAAACACAGGCGGGTCCCCCTCACAGCAGCATTTTCCTCTCCATTCATCTCCCTCTGAGCTCCCCCTTTTAGTAGCCTCAGATCTTTGAAGGAAGATGACTTTACCATTGTCCTTGGGCACAGCAGAGTCCGCTGGACCTGGCAAGGAGAGATGATGAGGGCGAATGTCAACAGAGCTGAAACACGGGCAGAGGATGCCGTAGACAAGAAGTGTACTAAGTGGTCTCATCTGATTTGGCTACTAAAGCTGGAGTACAATGGCATGAGAATAGTCCAGGGCCTGCAAGGGAGAGGAAGGCCCAGGCATTCCTGATGGAGCTGGATCYTGGCACATGTGGACTAGAGTTGAGACTATGGTTCTCATCAACAGCAGGACTTGTTGGAGCAAGAGACAATAAGCACAGGACTTCCAAGCTGATAAATACCACCATAGGCAGGAACTCTGGCTGGTGTCCCATTTCATGAACATGGCACACTTAGGACTTCAGGCTGAGAAGCAAAACAGGACAGTACCCTGGGCCCCCATCAGCCCAGGAAGCATGGCTGGCCTGATTCACTCAACCCCTTCAGACACTCTGGGCCCCAGACCACTAGTCCTTTGGACATTGTAGTCCATGAAAGGAAAYCCACTGGGTATATAACACAAGAAGGAAAAAGGGATTGTTGTTGAGAGTGGGTCCTCCTGACAGCACTAGGAATGGCTGGAACTGCAAACAGGCACAATGAAAATGATCTAAAAGATGAGGACCCCATGACCTCAGTGCAGACTCAAATTGCTTGGTTCTCTGCAGAATTAGTGTTGTCACCAGGGGGCTCTGATAGCTTTCCTACCTACTTGGGCTCCACCTGTATGCAAAACCAGGTAGCACCTACATAAGGGTAAAGGCAATGGCAGCAATTCCTTTGATCATGTGTAAAAAACTAAGAATGGAACAGACAACATGAGATCAGACTCATGCAAATCTTAGAGTTCCGTAACTGCGAGAGACTTACAGGTCCACTTAGGGCTAACTGAGGACAARTGCAAGTGACCCCTACTCTATGCAGAAGGAAGTCATCCTGTGGAAGTCGGATGCCAAGGACGATGCGGAGTGACAATAAAATATATTCCAGGAGCAGGCGTTGTGGCTCAGCAGTAGAGCGCTTGCTCAGCACATTCGAGGTGCTGGGTTCAATCGTCAGCACCACATAAAAATAAATAAATAAAATAAAGGTACTGTGTCCAACCACAACATAAATATATATTCCAGCAAAGGTATCAGCCAAATCTCAGATAAAAMGGACACAAGGGAATCTGGGACACTGTGGGTGTCTTTTTGACTTCTGAGGGTTAGGTCAGGATGCCGTGTGGCCCCAAAATTGCGCCCTTGGAGGCCTCCTCAGAGATTGAAAAAGGAAGGGGACCAACTGCAGTCGGACAGAAGCAGGATCTATGCCCTTCATCATTTTATGACTTTAACTCAACCTTTTAGCTATATTTCAGAACGAATATGGCACTGAGTTGGAATTAAATAAAACTGATAAGTCAACTTCTGAGCCTGATGGTGAAAACACTGACCACCTAGGTATCCTGCCGTTCCTGGGACGCTGAGTTTGGACCTGGGCGTGCTCAGGGGTGGTGCTGGGCAGAGCCGTGGGACACTTCCAGGCCCAGGACGCGCGAGGAGCCGTACCTGCGCAGAGCACGCCCGCGTCCTCGCTGTGCCTGCAGTTGTGTCGCGCCCAGCCCGCGTGGGCGCAGCGCTCCAGGGCGTCCTCGTGGCCCGTGCAGCGCACRTCGTCCATCAGAATGGGCCCGATGCCAGGGCCGAATCGGCCGCGGCCCGGGGCGCCCAGCGCTCGGCCGCAGCCCAGAAGGCGGCACACGACGCGGGCGTTCCTGATGTTCCAGTGGTCGTCGCACACCGTGCCCCACACGCCCTCGTGCCGCACCTCCAGGCGGCCCTCGCAGCGGCCCCGTCCGCCCGCCAGGCGCAGCGCACGGTCTGCGGGCAAGAGACACAGTCAGAAGCTGCACCTGGGCGTCCACCCTGCACACCCCTCAGGTGTCACTTGCAGCAGGAGATATGAGGCTGAAACGAGTTCTATTTATGGTTTCGCTGTTCCTAGTTCTCTCTCTCCTTCAAAGTCAAGTTAAATTACCCGAAGCCCTCAAGGAGTGTCCTTTATGGGCAAGCCTAGTTTCCTAGACACTTATAATTTAATCTTGTAACAAAAACACAAAACTCAAAAACAAAAATAAAAGTATTATCAGGTAAAAGTCAAACAACTCTCCTCCCAATCGTTACAAAATGATTGTTCTAAATTAAAGCTCTGCCCTAACTCATCCAACAAAATATGTCCTATGAAATTACTTTTACTGTTGATGAGTAAGAGCTTATATTTTAACTATAAAAACTATATCATATGACCTAGCTATTCCACTCCTCCATATTTCCTTGAGATGCATGAAAACATGTGCCCACAAAAAGATTTATACATAGTAGAATTTTCCATGCACATTAGCCTCAAACTGGAAACAACCCAAGTACCCAGGCATAGGAGAATGAATAGATTGTGTATGCACATTATGGAATATTACCAAATAAAGAAAAGGATCCATTACAACACATGGGATGAATCTCAGAAACAATTTAAATAAATTAAGACACAACAGGGTCTCATATTATTTGGTTTCATTCCATAAGGTTCTAGGGAAAAACCCCAAACTACAAAGCTAGAAAGCCGATCAGATGTTACCTAGTGAAGGAGGGAATTTCCTGGGATGATGGAAATATTCTATTAGTCTTTTTTTTATATTCTGTTTTGCTCGTGGTGGCAGTTACATTAGTCAAAACTTGTAGATGTGTGTAATTGTATATATGATACTCTAAAAGAGTGATTTAAAGAGTAAAAACAATCAAAAGTAAAACTTGTAGTTGTGTATTGCTTAACAATGAGGATACCTTCTGAGAAACATGTTGTTAGGTGACTTTGTCGTATAACATCATAGAATGTACTTACAGAAGAAGATAGCTATGGTATCTCAAGGCCATATAATCATATGGGACCACAGACACATATAGGATCACCATTGACTAAGATATTGTTATGGGGCACATGACTGTATTATGTTCATGTGCTATACCCACAGATGTCTAAATTTTTTTGGCACAAATTGGCGTGTAGTGGCTGTATTTTTAATTTTCTGCACCGTTTGCCATATGGAAGAAGCTTAGGGAGTGTTGTAGATAAACATACAGTATCTTTATTTATTTTTATGTGGTGCTGAGGATCGAACCCAGTGCCTCACACATATGAGGCAAGCACATTACCACTGAGCTACAGCCCAGCCCCTAGGGAGTGTTAATAAATCCCACTCATCACTTTTTCTGGTGGCAGTATACCAATCCAGGATGACTGCACTCTCCTGGCCTACCTGGCTGCTGCAATACTGGAAGCATGATACCCAGGCTTGTTTGAACTGGGACTGTGGAGGCGGGGTGTAGCTCAGCGGTAGAGCACTTGCTGGGCATGCTAGGGACCTGGGTTTGATTCCCAGCATGGGGTCAGAGGTATGAGTGTGAGTACACATCTTGAGTGAGGTCTTGGGAGGTGAGTTTTGGGTGGACCCATGAACCACAGTGCGTGTGTCTGTACATATACAAAGAACTAGCTCATCAACAAAATTTAAGTGCAAAAGAAATATGATCCGAACAGTATTATTAGCGCTCTGAAACAAACAAAACTTACCGGGTAAAGGGACCATTTCTTCTTCAAATGAAATTGTAACTGTAAAAAAAAATGAAATCCTTAAAATGAGTCCCCTCAAAGTCACATATTTATAGTCAAAGTGGAAGAGGAATCAAATGTTTTCTCTAATTCTGGACAGCCATACTTTTGTTTAAGCTTCTACTTTTGTTTAAATGCAGAAATACTGTCCAGTAAGTTTTATTTTCTTGGGTCAAAATATAATAAGTGGTCTTACATACTGTTTAGTCTTCAGAAAAAAATAATTTATTCAATGGTCATAAAAGATATATAAATATACTGAATTTTTGAAAAGAAGAATAATCTTGCAACAGGTATGTGATCATTACCAGATGATGGAGTCACTTTTGTTGAAATTGAATCTGTAGCTGCCAAAAAAAAAATTCTAGTTGAAAATGAAGTATTAAAATTTAGCCTCATTGTGATTTTTACACTGTAGACTACAAGTTTATGAAAACCAGCCTGTTCTCCTGAGGGGTATGCACTTATTTTGTGGATTTACCCCTTCAGGATGAAATGATTGTGTATGAGAAGTTGGCATTTTGTAAGATGGAGCAAGAATGATTCTCATTTGCAGCATCCACAACCTGTCAGGTAATCTATGTCTCTAAAGCTTACGATGACCAACCCAGGAGTGTTTTTCTGATTTTAGAAAAGGAGGCTCCGAGGGACTGTACAACATGACAAGGTCATGCACAGTTCAAACCTGTAGGGCCACAGGCAGATTCTAAGCACTCTGCTTTTCCTGAGCTTGGGATCTGGGAGTTGTTCACCCTGGGCTCAGGGTGGTGACTCAGGGAGGAGGAGGGTTTGCAGCCACCACTCCTGTCCTTACCCTGAGGAAGGTCTCCTGTAGCAACAGGAAGTGATTTGGGCTGCCACGCTTTCCTAATGGCGTGGAAGTGCCACCTGATCTGCACCCAGTTGACAGCCACAAAGAAAACCTGCCTCTTGTGGGGTTGAGAGCCAGTGGGGACCACCAGGGAGGGGATCTTCTGACGTAAATGGAGACGTAAATGGTGAAGGCCAGAAAGGAAGGTGGTGAGGGAATGCGAAATGGAGGGCGGGAGGGGAGGAGTGAAGGAAGCCATGTCACACGCTAGGGAAAAGGAAGGACTAACCCTGGGCTTCCCTGAGCTTTACCCCCATATGGCCAGAGGAACCAGGGCTTGACGAGGGAAGAGAGAAAGGAAACAAGCTCAGCAGAGCCTCATCACTGAAGATGGCGCTGTGCGGGGACAGAGGGGGGTCCCACAAATGGATTCATCAGCAAAGCCTGGGAGCTGAAAGGACTTTGGATGGGAGCTGGGACCTGGCTTTGCCTGACCAACTCTGAGACCTCAGGCAAATGTCTTTCATCTCTGGGCCTCATTTTCCTTCAGAATGAAGGTGGTGGTTCAGTTCTTTACTCCTCCAACTGGGTCCATAACCAGCAGCACTGGCTTCACAGGGGAACCTGTTAGAAATGCAGAGTCCAGGTCTATCGGGAGCCACTGGATCTGCGCTTGGACAAGTTCTGCAGGAGCTCACAGGCACATGAGCATCTCGTTGGAGAATCGCTGGTCTAGGTCAGCTCTAAGGGCTCCCCTGGGCTCGGCATTTGAGGTTCTTTTGTCCTGTTCAATCTGCCCAGCACCTGCCTTCAATGTTCAGTTTCATAACCAGGGATGGGGAGTGGTCTGGAACCCTCTGGACATGCCTGGCCTCTCCTGACCTTGCCTAAGGAAACAAGAAGCGTCTATTCTGGGTGTGTTAATTCTTGCTGGGCTGAGGATGCTCAGAAAGTCACTCACAGGGACTGCAAAGAGCAGAGAGCGTACCTGGTGAAGAAGGAGCTTCTCCTGAAGGCGGGGGAGTGGGAATTGTATCTGCGAATGGAGGAGAAGAATGTTTTGGTTTGACCTTCAGAGTCAGAAAATTGAAGAGCAAATGAGCAGAATCAACACCCTCACAACCCAGCTCTCTGTGCAGGTGCTGGGGTGTGCTGGCCGGCTGGCAGCATGGCCTCAACCATAGCACACCCGGCCGAGCAGGCGAGGTGTGGACCCCAGCCCTGTCCTCCCTTGGGCATGTCTGATCAAGACCAGGGCAGCAGGCAGAGTGTTCCTGCTGGAGGTGCCTCTTCTGTGTCTACGGCTGAGCCAAGGGGCGTGGCGCTCCCGCTCTGAGGAGGATACTGGGCCCTATGCACACGGGTCTTGGGCCACGGAGTGAGCATCGATGCAGGTGTTCATTGCCAGAGAAAAAGTTGATCGCGTTTAACTCGGGAAATGTGACAGGGAGGAACATTACCAGAGAAAGCGTCCACTTCTGTTGAGGCTGAAGTTGCTTCTGTGTATAAACCAAGAGAACAGGACACTGGGAACCGAGTGTGGCAATGCTGGGTGTCATTTCCTTGAGCTTCACGTTGTGGTCCACGTGGTCATAAGTAGGCTCCTTTCCTTTTCTTTTTTCTCCATCCCTCCCTCCCTGCCCCTCGCTCTTTTCCTCCCTCCCACCTAATCTCCCTCTCTCTCTTTCCTTTTTTCGAATACACATGAGGGTTTATTTAGAGAAATGCAGGTACTCCAGAGAATGTGGAGTGGGCTGTCCCAAGCAGGAGGTGGCCTCATGACTTCTGTTTTAGATTTTTCCCCCACAATGTCTTTATTTTATTTATTTGTTTATATGTGGTGCTGAGGATCAAACCCAGTGCCTCACACATGCTAGGCAAGTGCTCTACCACTGAGCCCCAGCCCCAGCCCCAGCCCCAGCCCCAGCCAGTGCTGTGACTTCTGTGTTGTGGGTTTTCATGACCTGCTTGGGATCCCCTGACCCTATGAACTCTTCATTTGTGTGGTTACAGCCATTTCCACCTAAGCTTAGTGCACCTGTGGTTGCTTCATTTTCTAAACAGAGTGCAACAAATAAGAAGCAAATCTCATGGATTTGAAAAGCCTAGTGGAAGACTTTACCAGTTAGAGAGGTTGCATCTTCTAGGGCTGAAGAAACATCTGTAGATAAAGGGGAGGGGGGACTTAAGTACCCTTGGGGGCACACCAGCCTTCTGTTCTTACCGAGGTTGCATTGGGGCAAAGTTTTCATGAAGCCAACTAGTGTGATAAACAGAGCTCTAAGAAGAGGCACTTGAAGGGATGACAGGCAGATTGTACCTGGTGAAGAGGTCACAGCAGTTGGGATGGAAGCTGCAGACAAAGAGAAATGGCAAGGAGGTGATTAGTCATGCCAGGGGCCG